TAACTTACTTTCGGTTAATGTTAGGGGTTGAACCTTACTATAATCTCGCCTTACTATAGATTCTTGATAAAATATTACTTATAACTTATATATAACTATTTACAAGTAACATGTTTAAATGTTTAATCAAAATTCACACACCTCACCGTATCGCACATGAAATCTATGACGATGTGTTCCATCATAACTTATTCCGTATTACTCAAGTTTAATAACTTAGTAGCTCCCATCACTAAACTAAAATAATCCCGAATAATCCGCGCCCAATAACAGTTCGGAACACCTGTAGCGGTTTATTGCTTATTTATACCGTACCTCAAGTCCGGATTAAGTTATAGCCGGCCCCCCGAAGATTAAAGCTTAATAGTACCTCCGAATGGATTGATTTCTGCGAGGCGCCGCGCCAAATCTCCGCTTAGAGCGTATCAAGTGGTCTTACGTCTACGGTGTTCGATTAATTGGCGGCGTGCCGCGTCGGCATTACGTTTCCGTTCTTTGCCCTTTACCTTTCTTCGTCCTAATGGCGGGACCACGCTTGTTCACGTGTGTTGTTTTCATCAAACATCTCGCTTTTACGAAACATATTCGTCTGACGAATGTTCCCCTTTCGGATATAAATTTTGCTCATTCTATTTGTAAACTAGCGACCCGTCCCGGCTTCGCGCGGGTGTGATGTATTATACATATAAATCTTCCTCTTGAATCACTCTATCTAGTAAAAAAACGTGCGTAGTTTTAAAGATAGGGACAGACAGACATCGGGACGACTTTTTTTAAAATATATTTTTGAATGTAAATATAGCAATCGATATGTAAAAATCTAACTCCAAATTTAATCAAATCCGTTTATATGGAAACCAACTCGATAACAACAAATACACCCGCCCTAAGCGTCTATTTATCCCGTTCCAAGAAAATCACTGTAGACACGTAAAATGCCAAAGACACGTACACAATTATCATGCCATATTTATTTAACGTAGGATCTATAATAGTGTGCACAGGCGGAGTAATCAGAGATCTAAGTGGAACAACAATGTTGACACCGGGCCAAGTTAAAAATTAAAAAAAAAGAAAGAAAAAGTCAAATAAGGAATCAAGCTTATCTGCTGTTTAATTAAAAGGCGAGCGCACACACGATTTACATATTTCCCCGGGACCGTGACAAACAGCATTACATAGTGTACACTCGCGGCTTCGCCCGCTGCGCGCCCGAGGGCCGTATCGCGGACACCTGTCTCCATTTGCTTAGGCCGTGTTTGACTTACATTTAACGAAACTTAGTCGCGGGCATATTATCAACTAATTTACGCGGCCCCGACGTTTTTTCTGGTGCAACAAAGCGGGAGAATGCGGCGCTCGTAAGCTTTTTACGGCGTCTGTTGTTGACACGGCTGCACGGCTCTCGGCCGTCTCGGCGCTGGCGGGTCGGCCTTTGTCAATATCTCGGGGTATCTCGCCGCCGATGCGCCCGGGGCGAGGGAGGCGTCGCTGCAGCGTATTGACCGATCGATTGGTCCGCTATTGGCCGGCCGGCCGCGGGGCGGGGTCCCAGCTTATCGCCGCGAGATCGCCCGTACCGACAGCCTCCGATCGGCCTCGAGGCCGTTGTTGCGACGCAAAAAATCTCGCCTCTCCACCGCTCATCGTCTCCTGGTTATTTTAAAAGTGTGGCAAGAGCCTGTACAAGTCGCACTGCTGGGCAAAGACCTCCTTAGTCCATGCGGATTGGCAGACTGTACATGTCTTTCAGTTTTTTTTGTTATTATTTCGAAAATATGCACGTTACCTCATGATGTTTTCTTTCACTGATGAGCAGGTAATCCAGCACTTAAAATTGGAAGTTTAATTGGCGCCGGCGCCTGAATTTGAACTCAGGTCGCTCGAGTATATTGAATTAAAAGCAAACACCCAGACACCGAGCTGTCACGGCTCCTGGTAATATAGGGATAAACCAAAGCCCGGATTTCCTTCGAGACTTCACGGAAAAGCTCATGAGATCACTACATACGCCACACCCATTCTCAATAACCGATGAGAACGCTTCAAAATTATTTACACACATTCTATATGAAACCTTACGATATTTCGGAGTTGATGTTTCGCGAATAACAGTAGTCAACGCCAAAATTTGATAATTTTGCGTGAGTGAAAGCACCAAATAAGATCTCGAGAATAAATCAATGCATTTATAAGTGAGAGCAAGTACTCCCCCGATATGGAACCGCAACGTAGACCCTGTTTCGACCACGTGACGTAATCAACTCAATTATTGAACATACAATTGTGAACGGGCAATTAATTGTAAACAAGCGGCGGCCGCCAACACCGCGGCCTCCCCATCGGTGCCCATCCTAAAATATTCACCTCGTGAAAGACCCACTTTACAGGAGGCTGCTATATCTAACTCGATTAAAACGCATGATTTAAGACCTATAAGACGGTCGATATATGAACGAGGACTTACATAGTTATTCATTTTTTTTATGTAAAATGTTGCCAAGCTAGCAGACGGTTCACCTGATGTTAAGTGAATACCGCCGCCCATGGACATGTGCTACACCCGAGCGTTGCGGATGCGTTGACAACCAAAAATCGGGCTCCGGCCACCTCACTCACCAGACGAAACGCGAAAATATTATACTTCCACTTTACGCCGGTCTTCTGTGAGGTCGTGGTACGGACCCCAGAAGGACCTCCCCATTCGTGCAACGAAAACTGAGTAGGGACCACAGTTAAATATATTGTTAAGATCATAGCTAGTATCCGCAAACTTACGCGAATCTAGTCAAAATATTACACAACAACCTCAAATAAGTCGAGCCCGTCCTCGAAAGGAATTGTCAAAAATAGTAAAAACAATTGTGATAAGATCAGTTCATAGACGCAATTGGAACCCGTAACTTGAAGTACTTAACTACGTTAATATCACTAATGCTATTTAACAACGTGCCATAATTTGTGGTAACAAATTACGTTTTTCGAGCGCGAGTTATAATACAACCTTCGGGCGGACACCAAAGTAGTCCGCCATTTTGTTATTCACGACGATGACTTAAAAAACCCGAATGCATTGCATTCAAACCTTTTGGAATTTAAATGGCTATGGTAATGTGTTCGTCACATTAAGCAAATAAAGAAATGATGCTATCGTAATGGTTTTATCAACGGTATGTTTTTACAGAGGCAATCAAAATCTTTAATTGACTGAATTTTATTGTCATATATCTCTTATTGCAACCATATTCAATTATACAAGTAGGTGGAGTTTTTATTTTTTCAAATTTTCACTTGTATATTAAATCATTTTGTCGCACAGCAAAGTGACAGCCTCAACCCCGTGAAAGTAGTGGTCGTCGAAACGTCTCTAAATTTAGCCACAAAGGTTAGTTCGTATTTCCTTCCACCTGCCTAGCAAATCTCAACCACATTTTAAAGTCGTGTTACGAATATCTGCGAAGGCGTTCACATTAAAGCAAGCGGAATTAAACGGTAAACTATACACCGACGATTCGTTGCAATACTGCAGCTGTTAACAATAGACGCTTCAGCAGGCACTACAACAGATAGTTTTGACATTAGGAGGCACTTGCTTACGATCCCCTCAGGTAACCATCGCGACAGTTCACACCCACGCTTGGGGACGCGCCTCGAGCGTTCAACGTCAAACTATAAAGTGCCTTATTGCCGGCGAATTCGCGCCGCACCCGGCCAAATTGGAACGGCGCGGCGACACACGCGAACGGTGCCGGTTAAACGGCGCCTCAATTTGGCCTCTTTGTCCCGATCGGCGGCTTAATTGGTGATATATTAAATTGTAATTAAGGTACCCCATTGTCGGAGGTGTGGAAATCTGGCGCCGGGGGCGGATCGTCTCGGTGCACTCTACGAGAGGGCACGAGCGGATAGATAACGAACCGTCATCGGGATGCATTTACACGGGAGCGAAACGATTTAAACTTCACGGGGTTGAAATTAGGCCCAGCGTTTAAGTGATTTAGTGCGGAATCTTCTTCAGTCTCGCTAATAATAGCATGGCCTCTTTAACGTCATTGAACTTGAATGTTGCCTCACCTTCTCTTTATTTTAAGGTCAACATTTGCACGGCGTTGAAAATTCAGTAACGTTTATAAGTATATAAATAAGAGTAGCTAAGGACATGAATAAAACATGAATAAATTTTAAGTCGCCTGACGTTTGACCAAAAACTGTTAAGTTCATCATTCATCAGACAGTATTTTATGCTTAGTATACCTACAGGTTACAACCAATATTTGCTTTTTATATTCATCTGTTCACGGCATTAGATACGTTTAGATACGATTAACATTATCAGGCGCAGCAAGGAAGGGAGCCCTTATCTGTTAATAGCCCAGCAAGGACCCCTCAAAGGGTTCAATCTCAATAAATTTATGAAAGGAATATTGCCAATAAGGACACCGGCATATCCTATTAATTAAAATACTTAATTAATTCACCTGGAATGGGTTTAATCAATTCCTTCGCTCTCAATTTATTAAGGGACAGCTATCGGGTCACCTCATACTAATTATGCGATCTACGTTTCTTTATTAATTTCAATTTGATACTGTAAACCCGACCCGAGCGAAATTTACGATGGCAATTATATAGCACGTCCGAAAGTAGCTACTTACTAATAGAGAAGCGTTTAAATTTTTGTACACGAAACAACAACATTTGCACGATCAGTTTTTAAAACGAATCACTTTACAAAATTATACATAACTAATGAAATAATCAATTTTTTGCCCTGGCACATCACCTTGTTTAAGGCCTAATTTAAACTAAATAATCGCAAAACAGAAAATAATTTTATTCGCTTAAATATGATACAAGTATGGCTGTAGCAGTAGGTTTGAGTGTGTATCTAGATAGACTCTAATACTACTAACTAGTAAATTCAAGTGCTATGATCTTTATTTAAAGACTCCTTTTCCGTCATGGCCGTCGTAAATAACACTTTATTTTCCTTGTTGCAGTATGCTCAGATCGCTGGACCTGAGCTCGGATCGGCCGATGGAACGGAAACCGGAATCAGTTCGGTCCCCGGCGGCGCCCCGCGAGGAGAGAAGCTCCGCTGAGCGCGAGAGGAGCACCGAGCGCCGAGATGCAGGTAAGTACCGTATCGGACGGTAGCCGATTTCAAATACCACCCATCGACCGCGTCAATCGACTCTTAAACCCTATATAGGTTCTACTTAACTGCTGCATGCGCTCTACATGTTATCTCTATATGCTCTACGTAGGCTCTACACTCGCTACGTGTTGTAGCTCTGATTTAGCCGTGTCATTAAATCTCCCAAAAATGTTTCCAGCTTCTTTCATTCGGGTTTAGACTCTTGAGACTTGTAACTGCTAACACTGTTAGTTCTTTAATCTCAGTGTTTATGTAAAGCGTTGATAATGATAAAATGGTTTGTTTTAAATCGTTTTTGTTAAGAGTATGAACTATATTTTCCCTGTAGTATGCTGAATAAACTATTCGAGTTATACGCGTGTTCAAGATACCGGCTGAGATCATACCGTTTGAACAGTCGTTCGATTTAGCATTCCGTACCTAATGCTGTTCTGGAGCAAAGACTTGTGAGCGTGATATCGACCAGATAGCGGCGAAACCTAGTCGCTGCTGCACCGCGCCCCTGGCTAGTACGTGTCCGCTTCAGTTTTCGCAAAACGGAACGGGGAACGCAGGCATCGCGCGCGGAGTACGGCGAATTCCAGCTCCCACCACCATCCGCGGGCGCGCGTAAACGTCCGACGCCGTCTCGGGCCCACCGACATTCCGTATGCGTTGACGAATGGCGCCGCATCCAGCTTGAAAACGTACGACGTCAGCGAACGATCGCGACGCTTACGGGCGTGAACCGCTCCTCCCGCCGCTCCTCCCCTCGCCCCGCGCCCTCCCCACCACCACCGACCCCCGCTCCGCCCGCTCCTCGCGTTCCCGCGTAACCGTGCTCTCACCGCAGGTGGCGAGGAGTGGCCCAGCACGCCGCCCCCGCTCAATAACAACACGACGCACCACAACAACAACGGGCCGCTGCCGCTGGCGCCGCCGCCGCCGAGCCCGTTCCGCTTCGAGGAGCACCGGCCGTACCGCTTCGCCGAGGACATGGGCCCCCTGCCGCCGGGCGCGCTGGTCGGCCGGCTGGGCGACTCCCTCATCCCGAAGGGCGACCCGATGGAGGCGCGGCTGCAGGAGATGCTGCGCTACAACATGGACAAATACGCGAACACCAACCTCGACACGCTGCACATCAGCCGGAGAGTGCGGGAGCTGCTGTCCGTCCACAACATCGGGCAGCGTTTGTTCGCGAAGTACGTCCTGGGGCTGTCGCAAGGCACCGTCTCCGAGCTGCTCTCCAAACCGAAACCCTGGGACAAGCTCACTGAGAAGGGGCGCGACTCGTATAGGAAAATGCACGCGTGGGCGTGCGACGAGGCAGCCATCATGCTCCTCAAGTCTCTAATTCCCAAAAAAGGTATTGGACGTTAATCTCATACGCTTGCCGAGTGAGCTTCTACCATTTGGGGCTTCTACTACTGAATACCAACGACTTCAATTGGAACCTGACAATACGGTGTTACTAGTTATCTTCGGCATCCACCGAATGTACACGAAGCGACACTGGCAGCAGCTCATTCCGCCGCATGTTTTGACAACGGGACCTCGCTCCATCGATTCTCGCGAGTCAATCTTCCGAACGGCTTGGCACGCCCGCCGCTATCGGCCGAGTCACAGGGCATCAATCACGGGCCGCGCCCGGTGATAGGACGTTCACGGGGGCAATTAACCGCCACTCACAATGGATATTTTCGGTCGGCAACTTGGAAACAATTGTCTGTTCCAGCGCTTAATCCGCCGCTTTATTCGATCACGGCTCAGCGTCGAACGGGAGCTTTCTGATCACGATTAGGCCATTAGCGGCATTTGACAAATTATTGAACCGACGCGACGCTCTGAAGTTTGCTCAATGATTTAACGATTTACGAAAAATTCAATCGAATGATGGATTGGCTCCGGCACAAAGTCGTAGGCTTTCATTTTAATTTAGTTCAAAGTGACTTTAAAATGTTTGCATCGAATGGCTGTTTGTCTGTATAAAGTTTGTTATTAAGTAAAGTAAACAAAGGAACCCTTGAGAAATTCCTATCAAAAAATTATTGGGCAAACGTGTTCGAAATACACAGCAAATAAACGCTTTTTTTTATTTTACATTTACAATTATATCGCGCGACGTAACGCTTGCAGGCAAATTATTATAATACTAACATTTTAGAAATGCATCCAAAGGAATCATTGCGATCACCGTTCTGAAACCATCTTATTCTTCGCTATCACTTAGTTTCACTACTTGCAAATCTAATTCCGCACTTATTTTTTAGTTTTAACGAATGTTTTTTTTTTTATCTTTTGTTTATCCCTGACCTCATCCTGTTTCCCGCCGTTTTCCTTTATGCCCTTCTTCCTGTCGTGCGGAAAGCGGAGGACTTCTGCCTGCCCTTGGCGCAAATGAGGGTTGGACGAAGGTCGGGGATGCGACATGGTCAAACCCAGCGGCCATTCTGATCTCATACTAAATGAATCCCCTTTATATCTGATGTTCTGTTTTTATTTATTTTTTATTCCTCTCTTTAACATTTGATTTGAACGATTCATTTTAATCGGTGATGTATTTGATTAATTTTGTCTTTTAATATAGCCGATGAAGGATTCTCTTTTATACACGGCGTCCATTTAATCAGATTTGAAATCTTCGTGTAATGGCGTAGTCATTTTTTTTCTGGTAGCCCGTGAACTCGTTTGCATAGACTAGAATGGAAATGTCAAAAGAACAATGAAAAAGGAAGCGAACACGCACTCAGCTGACCGTGTACCGGAGCAATTGCACGAAGCGATTTCTGCTGCGGAGATCCAATCGTTCTGCGTCGCGGCCCACGAAGTTTACGATAGTCATTAATGGCAAAGCGACGGTATTCGCCGTAAACTGTCTGCAGTCTGTGTTCATAAGCATACCGTACAATTATCTGATCGTTCGGGGAAACAAAACTTTACCGATTTGTCGCGTTTTGCTCAACATTTCTGAATTCTGAACCTAACCACAACCTAAATGCTCTAAAACATGTTCTCTCACTTCTAAATCACTATCTTCGACGTCATTCCACAAATGCGCATAGATTTAAAAGTGCCGCCCCGAACATAACCCAGATCCGATCAGATTTTTTGCTAATTTCCATTCGAACCCAACTCGGCGTGCACGTCCAGCGTCTAAATTGCAACGGGCGCGCGCAACAAAGAATCGACGCGGCGAAATCGGGACGAATCGTAACAGAAAACGGAAACAAAAAAGCCGAAACAAACAGCTCCGGGGGTGGAGAGCGCAGCAGCGTCCGTATTAATGACAAAACGCGATGTATAAATCGCGGAAGACAATGGCGCCGCGCGAATTAGGAACGGGGAACAATGTCCATCGATGGGACTCCGGATTGAATCCGAGATAGCGCCCGGGCGAGGGGTTGGCCGCTTCTTATTTCCGAGAGCGCTTTTGTTGGACGCTGAAAAAGCCACCTTTTTGCTTTCCGCGAGAGTTATGACTAATCGCTCGGAGATTAGGAAGTTATTACACGAATCGCTCGATTGGCAGAAAAACTGGAGAGTGGAAATGAATAAAAAAGTCGGTATTGCGACCGCGGGTGGTATTGATGTGTACAATAGTCATCAGTGCCGTCTCAACATTGCCTTTTGTAGAAGGAAATTAACGCGATTACATCGAAATTTATGGTTTAACCTTCTTGCTATCATTCACCTTCGTAGATTGAAATCGCATTGCCTTTTCGCCAAATAAGTACAGAGAGAGAGATCTTTTGCTGTCCTTTTCCGTCAGCGATCTTAACGCATCTGTTTTAACGTTTCCGTGCGTGAGATGACCAAAAGCGTTCACGACCCCGCCTTGTTATCGCTTAAGAGACCTCGGATCTGCAGCGATACCGGCTTGGGGTACGTGCCCGTAAAAATAGCGCGGACGGTGACCGTCCATCGTAATGGCCGGTAATGAGCGGGTGGTCGCGGAACGCCGCCGCTCCGTGGGAAGCCGCCGATACAGTTCTTTGTGTTCCGATAGTGAATTTGCCGAACCCTAATTATTACCCCCATTCGAGCGGTAACTTGTAACTTGCAACTGGTAACTTGCAGCGTAGGCAACGGCTAGGACCTCTTTTAGTGAACGCCAAGCGATATTAAACCATTTAAGCCGAAGCTATAAGCTAGCATCTACGCCACCGAGTCATATCGAAATAATACATGCACGCTAATTTCAAGTTGAGTTTCCAACTCGGTTCTACGAATACAAGACCAGTTACTTTTCGGCCCCTTCCTCTACCCTTCTACTCTTATCTGTTTTCTGCGGTCACTGTCTTTCGAAGGCGTGAAATCCATCTCGTCATCTTCTTCGTGACCTACAACGCCTTCCATTCTGCTCGAGATGATTTTGAACTTAAAAGACTCTGCTTAAAAACCTGGTCATTTATGGTGTTTGGTGTGACTACCCCGTGACGGTTGTGACGCAACTCGCCAACAGTCCGCCGCAAATCATACGTTACAGAAGCGTGTCATTTCCAAACGGTGCGTTTAACTGCTTCGTTCCCACGCGTGCTTAGTAAAGTCGCGACTTGCGAAACTCTCCCACGGCGCGTTTGTCCGCAGTTTTGTTTGCATATCGGTAAAATGTATGTAACTTTCAAAGCCAACGTCGAAACGTCCTTTTCCCGAGTCGGCTGTATGCTTTTTTAACGTGTAGAAAAAATAATTCACTGTCCATATATAAGTTCGTATGGATCCTTGAAATTCCTATTTAATGCGCGCACAAATGACTTGTTGACTAACTACCATTATCTCGTCGATTTAACCGCTCACCGTCAATCGCGAGGGTCTAAGTGGGCTGACATGAAATGCTCCTTCGAAAGGGCTTCATCGCCTCGACCTCTCGCCAATTAAGGGGTAGGCAGCGCCCTTTACGGCGAAAATGCATCGATCAAGCTAACATCGCGCTATAATGCATAACTCTACACGCGAAGCGTCCACAACAATGTATGTTACTAATAAAAGAAAAGTTAATTTGCGATCGGATCGCACGCGAATTGCCGCCTTTTGCGCTAATTAATAGATTCCTTTTTTCGATGAACGCTCGTTCTCGTTAGTAAATCATATGGGCATACATTTTAATGGGGTAACGCGCCTTATGCGATCGCCCGAGATGCTCGAATGTCTTGATTTATTTGACGAGAGATGAGAAAGTGTTAATCAGTAACAAAGTCTCTAATTTATATCCGTGATGCTCAAACTAAGTGGCAAAAACTGGACGTGTGCGTCCGACGGCGTTCACCCATATAAGGGGTGCCCGCTTCGATTCCCAGCTTGTTACAGTGGCATTTAGATACATTCATTATTCAGTTGGAATGTAACAAACTCTGAATTAGTATAACATGCCTGTGGTAGGGCCACGCAACAGTTCGCTGTTACAACCATGGACAGTTCCTTCCGGAGTACCACGACCTCACAGAAGACCGGCTTGAAGTGCAAGTGTCATACTTCTGCGTTTCTTCTCACCCGACGAGGCTACCTCACTCGCCAGTGACGTAGCTGGGGCCCACTTTATTAAAGTGTGGCAACGCATCTGCAACCTTACCGGAGTTTCAAATGTCCATACGCGGTGTTTATCACTTAACATCAGGTGAACCGCCAGCACGCTTGCTACGTTCTCACATTAAAAATGCTTCCATGTAATCTTGGACCTTACACTGAGATAATAATTTCTTGTATTTACGCGATTACACATTATAAATGTGTAATTAGATCGGACACAAAATTAATAATTCAAACGCGGTGTTTAACTATAACATCAGACGTGACCTCACCGCCAGCGTGACCATTGCTGTAAAGGGTTCTCGTCATTAAAATTAAAAATAAACGCGATAAATCCGTAAAATTAGTTTCATTTACCTTACACTGAGATAGTCAGTAAAACTGACTTGAAAGCAAGTCTTTCAATGCGACATTTCTCTTACAAGTTTGAACTATACTGACAAGTTGACTTCAGTTAAGTTTCAGCAGAAAACATATGTACATAACTCAGATCTTTAAATAGACACAAACATGTTATTCTACGTTTGATATAACGTCAGATCTTTACAGAAGTTTAAGATGTAACTTTGTAGGCAAAGCGACGTTATTCTAAGAAATCTTTCATAAATAATTTAGTGACAGATAGATTTGTATATTTATAACTAAAATTTTACTCAAACGACACTAGCAGAGCTATGTATAATATCTAATCGTATTTTGTTTCCTAGCCAAACTAAAGCTTACAAATCTCCCACCAACAACTGTGCTCGTGTTCAAAATCAAGCTCTTTCCATTGCGACTAACAGCCGACGCAGTACCACAAGTGATGTCCAGCGGCGAGTTACAAATTCATAACCGATA